ACTAACAACTGGCTCATGCCTAGCAACTACTAATACCATCCATTTCATTTATCACTCATAATTTGAACACCTGGCTGAGTACAACATGTTCATTTAGGACATTTTTCTTCACATTCTGCAAATACAGGATTGGTTGTTGTTATGGTGAAGAAATAGTGTTAAGAGGACTATGTCTGAATCACAGATAAATCTGGATTATATTTTGGTGCAGCAAACTTGGAGTGTGTTTCCTGAAAAGTTGACACATATACTCTTATGTAGACCTCTTAAAGCTTTTTTTTTTTTTAAAAGTGTTTATTAGTTTTACATTACAGGGACATATGATGACCCAAATTTACAGGATATTCACAAATGACTGTACTTACATATATCTCCTCATCTGATCTGTTTCGTACTGTGTAAACAAACAAAATGTTATTACAGCTGTGACGTGTTGTTTAGCTTTAAAGCTAACCCCGTAGCATTTCTTGTTATGTTTATTTGGTTAATATAGTAAGTATTTTCACAGTATAGTAATATCTCTAAAACACCACATTTAAAATGATACCATTCCTACTATATTCCTACTATATTTACTATATTTATTCTCACCATATATTTTGAGTTTTACACATATAACAATCAAAAATATAGAATAAACACTTTCTGAATGTATTAGTAATTTAGTAGTCCTTTTTGGACTTTGCTACATTTTTGACAGTCTTCTTCTTATAAAGTAACACTGGAAGGATAACAAGCTAATAATAGCTAGCTAATTAGCTGGACCATTCGCCCCGGTAGACAACCTGGAGTCAGATTAGACGCTGCTGTTATGAATGTATGCTTGTCAACTTTAGTTTGAAAACCATACCTTATTTAGGCACCATGACTGTCTACTTGTTTTGCTTTTGAAAATATTTCCAAACAGACAATTTTTCTTTCTTTTTAAGCAAGAACAAAAAGTGTTCGCTTGTTTTTAGCCAGCTGGCAGCAGTGGGCTAGGGGGAGTGCTGCGTCACTGTGTGTACTTAATGTGTAGTGAATAGAAGAAGAGCCTGCTGAACTGTGTGAACTTGTCAGCAGACTAGCTGTCTATTTTGAAGCATGTTATTTATTTGACCTCACAAAACTGTCAAGTTTTGGGGGAAATGTCACCATCCGAGTAACACTGTCGCAGCGGGGGAGGAGGGCGGGACTAACGTAAGAGCGGGAGGGGCCAGATGGCGGGTCAAACACGGGATATACGGAAAAATAATAATATGGGAGCACGGCAGGAAAGGGGGGTAAAAAACTTTAGTTTCCAGGCCAAAACGGGAGACTTGATTTAACAAATCAAAGCACTTCACAGGGAGGCTTTAATGAAATGGAAGCTATAATGAGAGCTACAACAAGGTAATAAATTAAGCAAATAAGGACAGGTGGTGTAAACACTAATTTAAAACAAACAGGTGCATCAAACATCACAACACTTTTGCCAAATGAATTATTTTGAGAGTGGATTGATTTGTATTAAAATGCCGTACATCCATGATCTATCACTTTACATTTCCTTTTTATATATTCTTTTTACAGTGGAGCTTACATAAAATGGCTAAGAATAAGTTTTTCTTTTCTTTAGTTCATCGTTGTTTCATGTTTTAAATTATAAATAGCCATGAAAGCATTCCTGACCTCTGACATGCTAGACGTTGGTATGTCTAGCATATCATATGTTTCACTCCTTTTGCCATTTTTTAAAAACATTTATTTGTTTTGTTTCTAACATGTTTTTTTTTTCTTTTAAAGGATCCACCTGCCTCAAGTCAAGTTTATGTCAAATCTTAAATGCAAAATCTGAATGTAATGCAGCAAATTTTCTGTTTCATCCTTTTAAGCTGTAACCCAAATGAAATATAACTGCTATGGAAATGTTAGCATTTTTCTTTTTAAATCTCAAGGTTTAGAGTCTACATTTATTAGAGAATATACACAGAGACTAATACAGTTGGTAATGATAGCCATGCTAATTATGTTAATTGCTAATAGAAGTCTCTAAACAGAGTTGAAAATGTCAACTTTGTAACCAAATGTTGGTTTTCTCTCACATAATGTGACGTCTCTTCTGCTTCTTAGACAAATAATGCATAACTACTTACAGAAGATATTTTAAATTATGTTTATACCTCCTAAAAGTAAAATGAGCTGAAACCTGTAATGGCAAGTCAAAGCTTTGTAAAAGCAATCTCTGCATCTGTGACACTAATTGAGTCTCTCTTTGTTTTTAGATATTTTCATCTATGCAGTCAGAATAGAAACTCCATCATTTGGTGTTTCTTTGGCTAAGCAACCTTTAGCTAGGTTAGCGTCGAGCTTTTAAGGCTTGTGTTAGATCCTCTTTCTGCCCTGATAGTTTTATACTTTAGTCATCAATTTGGTGTCTCAAAACAAGAAATACACTAGAACAACTCGGTTTGAGCTCAAACATTCCAACAGTATTCACGAAGCGCATTCATTTACCTAAATTTAAATTCAGTAAGCACTTAAAACACTAGCTGCTGGAATGTGACCCTATCCAAAAGGTGAGCAGAAAAGTGTTTTCACATTTCCCGTCTCTGCTGAGGCGCAGCAGAAGTGGCTTCCTGTGAGCACAAACCCCACCAAAAGAAGAAAGAAAGAAAGAAAAAAGTCGTCTGCCGTGTCATGCTTGGCCTGAACATTTAAATTCTTGAGTCTATTTCGCTCCATGCCACAGCAGAGCTGCAGCACTTTACAGAAACATGATCGGACTGAAGCTCTGCCCCGGCTTGTGTGTTTGCTGCCTCCTGAGCGGCGGAGCAGAGAGCCGGCAGAGCGGCCGCGCCGACTCCCTCCCCGGCTGAACAATACCGGCCTCAGATGAGAAATAAAAGCTGTATTGTTTCCCTTGCTGAGAGATGATGATGGTGATGAAGGGCAGAAGCAATTCCAGGTTTCACAAAGAAAGTCTCAGAACAACATGGCCCCGTCCTGGCGGTGGTAATTGCAGCGTCGCGGCACACATGAATACCCCCAAATCAGCCCTCGGCCTCTCGCGTCCGAGCAAAGTGCACCACTCAGACAATCAGAGGCATTAAATCTCAATCTCTCGTCCCCATGGCAACAGCAACTGCTTGTCTGATTGTCGCAAAGTGGGGTCTCTGATAACTTGTCACACAAAAGGTCACGCCGTTATTGTCTGCTGTTTTATGGAAGGACGGTAAGTGTTTTATTAATATCCGTTTAACAGCAGCGTTCATTAAGCAGCAGATATGTCTTCCTTTTTTCTTTATGAAGTACCCAGAACAAGGTCACAGGGTCAGGATGATGCTGCAGCTGTCGGTGGGTATGAGAGGAATCCACCGTGATTCGGATGTGGAGAATATTGTCGGAAGAAATTCTTCAGGTTTAAAAGCTTCAGTATGAAAAAATCATCTGTGACCGCAGATCACAAATGTGATCTGTGATCTGCATCACAGATCACATCTTGCAACTTGGTACTGAGCAAGTTGCATGCCTTGCTCAGTACCAAGGCATGCAACTTTTACAATCGACTCAGAAATGGTAGATCAGTACAAAAGTAAAACAAATAGCTATATTTGCAGCAACCCAGAAAAAAAATCAAACATGGAGAACCAACATTTAGGTTTATATTTTTATTATTGGAGACCAAGAGGAACTCCTGTTAGATTACCCTTTGATCCAAAACAACTGGAACCAAACATTTAGTTTTTTTACCCCTTCAACCTTTTGTCTTTGTTTTGGTTTTGTTGTTTTGTTTGTATTTATTCTAATTCATGCGAATCACTTTGAATGGCCTTGTTGCTGAAAATGTGCTATATAAATAAATGACCTTACCTTACCTTTATATTTATATTTGGTTTAGTAGAGCTTCAAACTAGAGGTGCACCGATCGTGGTTTGACCTGCCGACTACTATTTTGGCCAATTTTATTTTTATCTGAAAAGTCGCTAAGTAGTCCAGCTCAGCTGGGTGACTGTTGCTGCTACTTTGGAGTTTTTAAGAATCACTGGATCGGATTGGATCGACGCAGACGGCTTGAAATTTCCCTTTCATCAGAAAAATTTAGAGTTTTGGGTCTCGATGCATCAAGTTTATTTGTAGAAAGAATTTCATCAACAAGGCAGTTCAAAGAAACATAACATAGCAACCAGTTAGGAAAGCTGCTTCTCCGTGTTTGGTTCTGGTTCATCTAAAATCCTGTGTTGTTTTTCATTAAACATTTAAGGCGTGTGGATGTTTCTCCACTGTATTCAAAACCGACTTCAATGCTTTTGAGAGCGACATGTTTTTCTATTCCTGTTTAATGTTGACTGATCAGCAGGTCAGAAGCAGTTGCTTTTTGTCTGAGGTATTTTTAGTGTGTGCCGGGTCTGCACTGCAACCAGGCCAGTTATTGTTTTGTTCTCACATGGCAGAAATCCACAGGAGATTCATGTTCTGCTCTTTATTTGCTAAAGTTCTCTGCTGGCAGCTGAGGTGCCAAAAAGGCAACAAAACACACAGATTTAGATCCAAGTCTTTTTGTCTTTTCGTTTGCTTCTCGTACTTGGAGATCCTTTTTTTTTTTTTTTTTTTTTTTTTTGTTTAGTGTTTCAACATTTAAGCAGCGAGGCACCATGAAAAGTCTGGAGCTGAGGCTGCTACATGCTAATGCCCGCGCTCTTCAAGCTGGCAGCCGGCTGTTGTTGCTCCACAATTCTGCGCCGCTGATTGACCACCTCCCGTCGCTTCTGTGGTGTGTGTGGGATCATTGGCAATAATTGGCCATTGTTGTCGGCCAATCAACGGCAGCTATTACTCCAGGCCTTCCTGAGTAGGCTTGTGAATAACAATGTCAAAATGACTCCTGAGTAATAGCAGCGAATAAAATGAAAAGTATCCTGAACTAATTCAAAAGCCTCGGACATACATCCTTTCACTTGAGACAGGCTGAGTACAAAAACATGAATATGTGATTAATCACTGATGATATGCACTATGTTTTTTTTTTCTTCTTTTCGTAGGATGGCTGATGTTATGAACTCCTTGGAGCCTGGAACGGAGGACTTCAGCGGAGGAGGAGCAGCAGGAGATCAGGACTCGGTATCCTTCTTTGTGTGTCTGTTGGTTTGTGTTTTTCATTTCATTAGCTATAATAATAATAAGTTACATTTGATGTATTACAGTGAAATAAATACAGTGGCCCTGATACATTTTCTATTCTAGATTCAGTATTTGTGTCCTTTCTGTGTGATGTAACTACAGATTTGACTTTTCACTAATTATTTTGTTGAGCACGTCTAAAATATTCAAAAGAAAATGAGGCCTGGGAACACGACCAGCACGGTGCCACTCCACACGTTATTCGCTGGTGTTAGCAAAGCAGCCAATCCAGGAGCACTATTTATTTTCCTTGGTGCTTATTGGCTGCGCCCCTGTAGCAGGGATAAGGAAGACCGTAGATGCTAGCTAACAAATTAGCATCTATTTTGATAGATTAGAAGACATGCCTCCATAAGAACTAATATGTAGACAGGCAAGATGGAATGTGCAGTTACAGAAGTGCACCTTCCATCTTGTCTGTCTACATATTAGCCTCCATGTAAATGCTACTTGTGGTGAAGAACATCACATGTAAAACCGGTTACTTTTCTTCAGCAGGAACGGGAAAACTTACTAAAGTTGAAAGCGTCTCTTAGAAGATCTGTGTTAAAGTGTATTCTGTCCAGTAGAGCCGACGTCAAACCGTCATTCAGTTAAATCATTGTATGAAAATGAATCAGGCCATGTACAGAAGCCCCAGAAAATCCACTAGAACCTTAGAAATAGAAAAAAAGTCTTAAGACCAGGGTGGAGATTAAACGTCCAGCAGGTCCACCACCCTGAACATGCAGCTACATCAGTTCGGTTCAGATCTAAACATGTCCCCATGTCAGTGGTTTCTGCGGTTGAAACAATTTATCCTCCAGTTCTTTTGGTTGGGGAAGGAAGTGCTTACTTTTGATTGCATTTGAATCTGTTTCCACCGGTCACATGGTGGAGCTGGGCCTATCGCGGTTTCTCGTTCAGCCACTGCCTGCACCTTGTCACACTTGATTACTCCCACCAGCGCTCCTCCACCTCACAGCCCCACACAGGACTCGCTAGAAAAGCTTCAAAAACATCGCTGGGTGACGGAGTAAATGAGGACAGGCTGTTTTTGGTCCAGGCCGATATCAGTGAAAACAGGAAGTAGGTCAGCACTTCTCTGTCTCCTATGACAGTTGTTGAGTCTTTATATGGCTGGGAGCAAAACAGGCAGTTTAAACAAGTTCAGCCAGAGCGACTGGAAAGTATAGCTTCAAACAGAACATATGAAAAGCATAAAAATATAGAGGTGAAAAGTAATGTCAGGCATTGGAAAGAGAAACAAAAAAGAAATTTGAGTTTCTTGAAGCAAAGTAGAGTTATCAGTAATAACTCGCTTACCTTGTTGTAGAAACATGTTGTATCATACACTGCGCTTCCATTACAGATGTGTGCAAAACTTTGTCAGTATTCTGCCGAACTGTAAAAAACACAATTTCACAATTGCGGCATTTCATTAAGTAAGAAACGCAATTGAAATCACATGTGAATAAATGTCTAAGTCATTAAAAACATCCTCCAACTACTTCCTGTCGTTTTTCTTCTCCATGGTTTGGTTATTGACAACATCCGATTGTTGATCATGTGACTGATGTGATGCAACAAAAGTGTTTCCAATACAGCTTCGAGGAATAAACCAAAAATCCCACCTTTATTGAAAAATTAGTTTTTTTTTTATTTGCTTAATTCCATTAAGCAAATTTATGTTTGAAATGTCAATTTGCGCCATTATATGAATTTCAGTGAAAACACATCATTAGTGAGCTTGTACAAAGATAAAGAAAACATCAGTGATATAGAATGTTAGTGACTAAGGTAGCCCTAACCTTTCCAAATCTTTGTAAAACAATGATTTAAAATGCTATGAGATAATCAGCAGTGTACATGGATTTGCCTTTCTATATCTGGTTTGCCATCAATGTGGCAAATCAGATTTTTACCACGTTGTTGGCCTCAAATTTGATGTTGGAATGAAGTCGTTCTAATTCTCCAAACTATGACAAACCTGGCGGTAACCTTACATAAGTTTTGAACAGATCTTCCCAGAAACACATGAGAGGTTTCCGAAGCTGTCCAAGAGGCTTCCCTCCATTGTGGTGGAGCCGATGGATGCGGCTGAGGTGGAGAGCGGCGAGCTCCGCTGGCCGCCAGACGACCCCGGATCCCCAGACGCCCAAAGTGAGAGACGGAGAGTGGGCGATCAAACCGCAGGTGAGCAGGACACACAGGCTGGTCTGGTGGCCATCTTGTATATGACGCAGCGTCAAATTTACTGAGTCATTTGTTACAACGAATGGCTCAGTAAATTTGTCTTCATCTGATCTCTGGTCTCAGGAGTACTTCACCCCTCCTATACCAATATGTATAATGTTTTTGAGTACAGGTTAAGTTTGAAGTCTAGTGCCTGGTTCACACACCAAGATTTTTGTGTCGATTTTTGTCCTGATTTTTCCCTTCCAACCATCTTAAGCGTGTTGAATGTCATGTGTAGCCAATCAGAAAGCAAGGTGTCAGAAACACGGAGGAGAATTCTAAACAAAGAAAGCTAAACAGCTACCATGGCGCACCAGGAGGTCCGGTGGACAGTCAACAATCTACCAGCACTGCTTCTCCCCAGTCGTCCATGTTTGCTTACTCTGAAATCACGTTTCATCTCGAGAGAATTTCCAAGGTTTCCCATCTGTCATCTGAACTTTGGTCAGTGAAGCTGATTATGGTGTGCTACTGCTGTGTTTCTGGATACCACACACTGTACAACTAAACTTGCTTAAGTTTGTGGTGTCAGGTTTTGAATATCAGTCGACAAAAGCACTTTTGACCACTCAAAGTGCTTTACACTGCACTTGGATTCACACCGATTTGCAGAGCAGGAGGAAGCTGGAATTGAACTTACAATCTTCTGATCACAAGACAAACACTCTACCCACAAAGCCACAGTTTTTAAATAGAAAGTAAACAGAGTTATAATGGCAACATTTGCTCTATTAGTGGCTTTATCTGGAGTAGAAACACAGCTAGCCAGGATTACAATCTTGGTAGAAAAAGTACGTCCAGTTTGTGACAGCAGTTTCTCCTTCAATAGCTTTGACCTGAAGGTGTGACGAGGTCGAACACAAAACGATCGGGTCAAGTGTGTCATCTGTAGCGATACGCTCAGCTCAACCGACAGGAAGGTGACCCAGCTAAACGCAGTGACCACAGCACTGAGTGAAAAAATACAGAGAGAACATGGAGGTTATGAAAGCGACAGTTCTAAATAAAAACATAAATGGAGAGCAGCAGGAGGTGGGAGAATAAAGAAAAGTGGTCAGCTTGTCCTTCTTCGTGGTTTCCACCAGTAGTAACATGAGGTTGTCGATCATGTGACTCGTGTGATGGGGAAAAAATGTTTCCATTGCAGTCTTGAGAAATAAACCAACTTTGATACCATCTACTGAGAGCCAGGTGTTCTGGTGGAAACATACAAAACAATCAGCTTTCTCGTGTATATGACAGAGCTTGATTGCTCCTTAAGAGTAAGAAGACGTAAGAAGAACTGTGAATAATTTTGAGGAAGCCAATGAAAGGGAGCCTAAAACTGCCCAAGTGGAAGGAGGATGTTCTTCCTCATCTCAAACAAAATCCTCTGTGTTTGTTGCAGGTGAGGAGAAGTCAGATGCCGGAGAGAAGGAAGAGGCTTCAGGGCTAGAGATGCAGGAGTCAAACTGAACAAACCCGTATGAAATACACTGTTACTGTATGTCTGTCCAGAGCTGAATAGCAGAGCGCCTCTTGAGGACAGAACCTAACAGGAAGCTGAAATGAGGCGGGACGGCTGACAAGCAGATTTTGAAACGACAGCCTGTTGGGCCTGGAGCCAGAGTGGAGTCACTTTTTATTCTTATTTATATTTTACAGGTTAAAAGATTTTACTTCTGGGGACCAATATTATGTTCATCTAGTTTCCATCACTCTGCTTAAAAGTAGGTAAACTGTAAAGTTGTTCACTTCAGAATGATAATATATTTAAAAAAGTGCAATAACTCCAGGCAGCAATAAATACAAAGACTTTTCTTCTAATTAGACTCTTCCTATTCGTCCATGTTTGTAGTTTAAATCTGAATCCTCTTTTCTCTGGCTCCAAGCCCTCTTCGTCCAGATGCCCATCATCATCATCAGCACATCTGGCGAGGGCGGATGTCTCTAAATGCTTTATGAAGTATTTAGCTCTTGTGTGCCATATTATTACTTATGGTAGCTGCTGTATTTTGTGCAGTTTTACACTCCTTAGATAAAAATGACAGTTGTTGTCGCGTACTGACTGCTGTGGTAAAAACGTGGTGATTTTGGTCTCACTATTCAATTTGAATGATAGCTTTGAAGATAAATATGTATCTTTTATTTGATGTTATGCCATTCTGTAATAAATTATATATGTAAATTCTGTCTCCCTGTAGTGGATGTTGAATAAATGTGTGTGTTGATCTGGTGAGATTAGATGAGACGTTTTTCTGACCTGGTAGGTTCACAGGAGTTCATTTTTATCTGACGGAGTCAGTGAAGCTGATGAAGGCTGACCAAGAGTTAAACCAGTTCATTAACTCAGTGTTTATGAAAAATAATAGTTGTTAATCTGCTTTTAAACCTTTCATTTGGAAGAAAAACACATTATCAAAATAATAAAAGTGAAGAAATCTAGCAATGATACAAATATGAACATATGACATATAAATGTATATATTCAGGTTTGAATATATACATTTATATATGTCATATATTCATATATATACAAATATGTTTGTGTCAATCTATACAAAAATTTATATATTGGTACATTTTTTCTGCTTTTTTATTTTTCTATTTTTTTTCTTGCAACAGATATTGTTTTCTTTTCAATTTCCAACTTTAAGGACAAGTTTATTTTATTAAAATTGGCAATCTTTTAAAAATACCATGTGAATGTAAAGAAGTTAATTTAGTGTTCTGTCAAATTTTGTCTAATTTTTAAAATCAGCCAATTTATCATACAGTGAATTCTTTACTTTGCAAGAGAATCATTCCTGTCAAAAGGAAAGTCTAGCACTTATATATATATATATATATATATATATATATATATATATGTATATATATATATATATATATATATATATATATAAATATAATTTTTTTTTTATCAGTGACTGAGACGAGTCATCTAAAGAATATTTCTGAATATGGATCTTTGGGCCTTAAATCTGGGTTAGTCTGAAGATGGAGGCGACCGACAGGCTCCTGTGTGACAGACTTAGATGCTTAAAAGTGTCTGGGTTCCACTTTTAAAGAGCTACTTTATGTCCTTAAACAAAACAGACCTTTATTATACAGAGTGACGTAATCATAACTAGCTAAAGCCTCAAAAAGATTCTGAAATATTTAAAACTCAGTTTGAGTGCATAACACAAAGAAACCCTGGATGCATGCGCAACAAAACATCTAAGATCTGCAGGCTGACTGGCATTGAATGATGAATTTAGATTTTCTGCATGGCCTCAAATGAATATAAAAGAAGTAATGTCACAGTGTGAGAGTCATATATGCTGCACAAATGATGGCTGGCAAAAGAGAGACTCAGTAAATCCAGTGGATTATTGATGAAAGCTGTCTGCGTTAGCATGCGCTGCTGCGGCTACTGGCTCCACGCACGACTGCAAAATGCGACACGTTGCTCTTCCTAACAGCTATGAGATTGAGCAACAATGAAACACTGTAATGGTAGTTCAGTGCTGGAAAAGCTGGAGCTGTGTGTTAAAGACAGCAGAGTGTCAGTTTGCAGCGCAGCTGTTCAAAGTTATGTAATAACTGGACTTGACAAGGATGGGACTGTTAGGATAATATCTGACAGCTGATTGGTTAGACAACCCTCCAGGTGAGGGCGTCCAAAACGACAGCAACCGTGTTTCTAAAGGATCATTTTAGCATGACTCAGCATTTCGTTCAAACTGTGAGAGTATCACGAGTCTGATGTGTCGAATTTGAAGAAATGCTAAGAACATTTGAAGGAAATACAAAAATACACGGATGATGAGAAAGTCCTAGTATTTTACAGTCCAGGCAGCCAAGCATTGTTTGACGCGTGTGACCTTTGAGCCCTTAGGAGGTACTGCTTAAGAAAATGTCACACGACTCTAATCAATAGCTACATGGGCTCGGGGGTGTTGGAAAATCATTGTCACTCAGAGGAGCAGAGCTGGGGGCTGAAGCTGTTCCTCTCAGGGGGCGAGACGTTACAGCAGGTCTGAGTGAAACTCTGCCAGACTCATCTCAGACGGCCGGGGAGACGGCGGACAGATGGCCTGTGTGCAGACCAAGTCCTATTGGGAAAATGGTTATCATGATTATTTTTCCTGAAGATGGGAACATGAAATGCTAACATGTAGCAGCATGGCAGCTGACGCTAATCTTTAACGTTTTGGAGACGTTAGGAGAAGAATTTACTGGAAATGAAAAGAGACAATGAATAATCTGAACTCTGTCTCTGGGTTGGATATTTTAGTGAGTCAGTGCCTGACCTTTTGACCTCTTACAACAAGCTGCCTACTTGTGTGTGACAGTCCAAAACATTAACTTTGTTACACCTAAGCCACTTGGGAACTAATTCAGCGTGCTTCAAGTTGTGCAATAGTAAGACCTATTTGTAACTACGTTTTAAAGGGACAGTGTTATGTATTTTCCAGGCACATAGTTCTGTTTTATTGCACAATCAAGTAACTGAAGTACCTTCAGTTACCTTAGTTAGCATATATACAAATATATCAAATATGATTTTACTACCTAATTTAAATCCTTTAAATTGGGTTTCTGTCTCTTTAAGAAGCTCCTGCTCTGTCTGAAACTCCTCCTTTAGGATGGGATCACAACATGGTTCCTCATTAACCCTTTAACAACATTTTTACCAGCGTTTCACTGAGAAGTAGCTCCTGTAATTAACTCAACAGATGTGTAGTTCTACGAGGTGTTTGCTAATTGATGCTGGCTAGTCTGAAGGAGTTGAGTGAGGGGAGGGAGTCTGTAGGGACCGGTCATATCCTAAGAAGGCCATCAAAACACTTTTGTTTGTTCCTCGAGAATACATACAGAATACATACAGCAGTAAATTTATCTTTTTCAGTAAACTGATTTTATTTATAGTCCTTTAAAAAAGTTGCAGAATTATACACTCCCCATGCAACACTCACAAAAGAACTTTGATAGAAAACAGATGTAGATGCACATAAAGATATTAATGATCACATAACTTCATAGAACAAGTTATGCAAGTTGTTCTGTTTCAGTGTAATAATCTCAGGTGTGTTTCTGCCTCCCCAGAGGAGAAAGCTGCTGCCTGAATATTTGCTCTCATTTCAGCCTGTGATTAATGTTCTTTACTCTTTTTTTTTTTTTTGCAAGTTAAGACTTAACATCTGCGAGTGGTGCTGCGGCTTTGTGCGTCACAGATGAAGAAAAAAATCGACGACAAAAACACAGGCTTTTCCACACATCTATCCACTCAAATGAAATATTCCCAGTAATCACATCCTGGAAATTATGTTTTTTCTCAGTCGCTGTGGTGCTCAAAATACTGAACTCTCACATCAATTTTTTATTTTTTATTTATTTATTTTTATTTCTAATGAATAACCTGGCACTACAAGACAGTCAAATAGCTCTGTCAGTCTTTAAAAGATCTATTAATTAAGCTCGCCAAATATAATAAGTTACATATTTCTGTATTTAGTGAGGTAAATGAGTTCTGTACTCACTTGGTATCATATTGATTCCAAAATGGCAGCTGCAGCTCAGGAGGAGGTGGAGGAGATCCACCTCTTCACAGATGATCTAACTCATAACAACAAACTGTCAAGACATGTTGACAGTTTAACAAATATGTAAAACAAAAACAAACAAAACATTTATATATTTTTTAATAAAAGTTACATGCTGCAGCTTTAAACTTTTAATTCCCCATTCAAACACAACCAAGAATCCTGCAGTAAAAATGCCAGCCTGCACAAGTTTCTCTTCCAATAACCGGAGCATCTACAGTTTCAATCCAAAAATATTTTCATCAGAGATATTGCAGTCATGTGCTTATTTTCAGAATCAATATACCTCTCATGTCGTAAAATGATCTTTCAATAGATGCCTGGAGTAAACGTTTGGAGTGAACAGTTCCTGCAGAGGGACAGAAGCCCCAATGATCTGGGTGGGAGTGAGAAATCTGTGAAAAGACAGGAGAAGTGGACAATCCTTTGTGAAATCAAATCATTTCACAACATTCGGCCAATAAAGGACATCGATTCTGTAAAAAAAAACATGGATTCATGTTTGCCAACATTCCAAAACTCTGTTTACCTGACATTTGTTGCTACACAAATGTTAAAAAAAGGGAACAAAGGTGCTTTGCTAACATTTCAAAGTGAGTTTAGCAGTTCTTCGTCTCTGCCCGTGTGTTTCCATCTCTCCTCCTCTCACACACATGCAGATGAACAGTCAACACAAGCGCAGCTCCCACATGCTCTCTGATGGCTTCTTGAGGCTGATCCACTGCTAAAGGTCAGCCCGGTGTCTTGATCCAGACAGCGAGATGGATGGCCAGATCTCCCGTCTTACTTCGTCCCCGCGCCCTGCTCGCTCTCGGAATCTGACCTTTTCTGATGACAACCCTGTGAAGTGCACTTCATTGGAGCGAGCGGGGTCACCGCCGGGAGAACCAAGAGCTGCGGGGAAGGAGGCAACGAGGGGGAAAGAAGAACGCAGCGTCAATTATCTCTCAAATGTCACAAGCTGTTTTTCTGAGAAAAGGAGTCTTGCTCTTTCCTCTCCTCTTCAGACGGACAGGTCGAGTCGTATTTTGCATATTCATAGCTTTTACGTTTGCTGGTGTGGCTACAGTTAGGAAAACGTTGTTACTGATCAGTACAGACGAGATCAAATTATACTTTTGAGCTACATTAGATGTTTTCCGTATGTTTTGTCAAGGTTCTGAGTGATTTTTGCTTTGTTTTGTTTTTTTGACATTATTCTTCTTTTATTCAGTTTATTACAATTTCCTAAGAAAGTTTTGCAGTTTGAGGCCAGGACATGTTACAGCTGCTTTCTTACTTCTGTTCATAGAATCTCAGTCTTGGAGTAGACGGAGCTCATGCAGTCATGTTCTCACCATGCACACAGACTGTACAACTTCTGATGAGCTGTTTGGGTTTTTGACCCGGTAATGTTCACCATTTATAAAAAGCCAGAGAATGCTTGTCCATATTTACTTTATAAGTCACATAAAACAAAATATAAAAATGAGGAAAATCAATTATCTTAGAATGAATTATAAGATTTGTAAACTTCAGCATTTTTTTTTCAATTTTATACATCTAAAAAGACAAAAAAAAAAAATAGCCAGTCTGCATTCTGTGTGTATATTATTCACTTTT